CCAGACTTTGAACTGCTTGAGTTAGAGTGCTGTATCCATCAGGAGACCTTGTTTGTCCTAACGGGCATTGTACCAGTGCTCTTATGCACACGTGCTATAGGGCTATTGGTTATTTCCACCAAAAGGGGAGGAAAATCCTAGTATCATATCAAACACCTTATACTGGATCACTCCGGATGTCCCACCAATGGAACTTTGGTTACCTGTGGTTCAAATGAAACTGGATTTTATGTTGGTGGGTTAATGTGTATCATACTTAAAATAAAAGTAGATGGAATGCTAGAGGTAACATCAAAGATATGCACTGTTTTTTGAGCATCCTCTATATTTCTAAAATTCACACAAAATAGTGTCAAATATATTAATACATCTTGGTTTAACTGCTGTTTAGTAGGGACGTATGCTGTGGATTACTTGTCCTCTGAAGGTATCTAAAGTGATTTTGGTTTGTTGGCTGATGGAGGTTTGAGTATGACTATGCTGTTTCCATCATTTTTAGTTAGTGTCATTAATCAAATCCTGCACCTTCATTAAGCATGATGTTACGTGGTTGCCATTTACAACCTCCTGTCTGTTTTCCCATTTATTTTGTTTGTGAGAAGCTGGCACTGAAGGTCACAGATGGGGATCACATGACTGCAAGATGCTGCAGCATAATTAATTGCGAGTCTTAAGCATTAGGATTGCTATCATATAATTGGGGGGGGAGCAGAAATAGTCAGAACTTCAAGAAATGGTGGTAAGTATCATGTGTTTTTTGAATGGTCGCCATTAAGTAGCCATTAAGCAAGGGCCACCTGTAAAGTTTAATCCTAAGTGTTGGATGGAAGAGCATAGATTATAATTCTTTTTTAAACCAAAATAATTTCTAAGTGATATCATCAAACATCTGATATTCAAGGTTTTACAGGTCTTGATCATAAATTACATATAAAAGTGGAACACAGGGATCTTATTAATTTACAAGTGATAATCTAAAATATATTTCTGATAGTATAAAATACATTTAACAGATATGGATGTTCTATGGTTCTATATGTAAGGGAGATTAAGAACATTTTATTTCTGAATGAAAGATTGCAACTCACAGATATGTCCAATGTAAAGAAATAAGAATATACATACATACATACATACATACATATATATGTAGGTCTTTGGTTATTCGGGTTTTCTCCCGCGTAAAATTGGAAGTATCTTGGTGGCATTTCGATGAAGTCCCATTCGTCATCTTCAGGCTGGTGTTTTCGGCTTAAAAGGAAGCAACAGCTATGATCACACATTGCTCCTAGAAGCATGAAGCCAAAAACACCATATACACCATAAACAGAAGCTAATAACCAACTTCCCTTCCTAGATGTCTTAGTCTACAAGAAATCCAATGGCTCCCTAGGACACACCATCTACCAGAAGAAAACACACACAAACCACTATCTGCACGCTCTCTCACACCACCACCCAGCACAGATCAATTCCGTAGCCAAGACACTCATCTCTAGAACAAAATGCTTAGCTGATGAACAACACCTAAAAACCGAACTACACACTCTCACTAATGTACTTACATCCAATGGATTCCAATGAAATAAGATTACTAAACTAATCCAAAAAGAAACCCCCACTAAAACCCAAGACAGAGAACAAGAAAATGGCAAAGCCCTCCTCCCGTACATAAAAGGCACCACAGACAGAATCAGTAAGATCCTCCACAAACACAACATGAAGACAGCATTCTGCCGAAACAGAAAAATATCCACCATCCTAAGAAACCCCAAAGATAAAATTGAATTAGAAAATCAAGGAGTATACGAAATCCCATGCACCACTTGTCCCACCACATACATCGGACAAACCAACAGAAGAATAAGTGCACGCATTGAAGAACATAAGAACTCAGTCAAAAAAGAGGAACCAACATCTTCCCTGGTCCAACACCTTAAAGCCACAGGACATGAAATTGACTTTAAAAATACCAGAACCATTGCCAAAAGTGAACATTTTAATAACAGAATAATCAGAGAAGCCATCGAGATAGAAAAACGCCCACACAGCATGAACAAGCGAGATGATACCTCCCGCCTACCAGCCATTTGGAAACCCGCCCTTATTGACAAACGACTCCCTAACACAAAAAATGACACCAGACCCACACTCACAAAAACCACACAGGATGTCACCACCACACATCCACGCAAAAAGCAAACCCAAAGCCACACCGATGATGAGGCACGACCACAAACCAGAAGCCAGACCACAGCTGCATCATTAGCCACTTTAAACCCCTCCAATCCATACATGAAGCAAACTGACACCCACCATGAAGATGAGGCACGACCACGAACGCGAAGCCAAAAAATAGCAATGCAGCTCACCATTTTAAACCCCCCTGCAACTCAGACTAACCTGAGCACAACAAAGCCCCCACCCAAACAGAACACTCCCCCAGCCAATCAGAGCACAGCCAACCCCCCATCCAATCAGAGCACAGCCAACCCCCCAGCCAATCAGAGCACAGCCAAGCCCTAACCAATCAGAACACACCTCCACCCAATCAGAACACAGCCAAGCTCTCATCCAATCAGTTCATACCCCCACTGGCAGTTAAAAGGAGGAAACAGCTACAATCACACATTGCTCCTAGAAGCACGAAGCTGAAAACACCAGCCTGAAGATGACGAATGAGACTTCGTCGAAACGTCGCCAAGACACTTCCAATTTTACGTGGGAGAAAACCCGAATAACCAAAGACCTACATATATATATATATATTCAACAGTAACAGTAACACGGTCTAGGAGCCGTGCGCAAACGTTACTTGAACCTACTTAAACCACCTTTATTGCAATGGCCTTTTAGCCCTGACGATGCTGGGGAGTTCCCCCAGCGAAAGCTTGGCAACTTTTTAGTATAAGTATAGTATATTTTTAGTAAAGTATTCTTACTTCAACCCTCCCGGTGATCATGTTTTATTCTTTTATTCATATATATATATATATGTATGTATGTATGTATGTATGTATATGTATATGTATATGTATATGTATATATATATATAAATATCTCTCCCATTGATTTATTTGCACCCTGATGATGTTGGCAGGAGCCAACGAAAGCTAGGTCTGCTTTTTAAAAAACTTTTAAATGTTTTATATTTAAACTTTTAACATTTTATAAAACTTTTAATGTTTTAACTCTTCCTGGTGCTCACGTTTTATTTCCTAGTATGTATACACCCAGGAATCATTCTTTTATATTTAGTATTATATATATATATATATATATATATATATATATATATATATATATATATATATATATAATTCCTGCTGCTAAGTTTAATATCCTTAAGCATGAGGTTGTTTAATGGAATAATACATAGTCCCCAAAATCCAATTTTAGCTATGTTGCATACTCTTCTTTGATTCTTAAAGGCTACAGTTAAATTTTATCCTGCAGATTTATTATCAAATGGGTAATTCAGGCAAAACTAAATGCACTTACATTTAAAAATAGAATTTGAGGGCTACAAAACATTCCCTGCTATGGTTAAAGAAATATAGCACATAAATGCCTGTGGCAAGCTGTTCTTTGAAATTATCCTCATTAAATTATAATCATGCACTTCCAACTCTCTGTAATTAAACATTTAGATTTATTTATTCCAGATGTATTTGCTTCAAATAAATCCAGAACTTTTGTTGTAGTACTAGACCTTTTACAAGTCTCAAGCACTTACAAATTGTCAAAAAATGAAGTGAATTGTCTCCTTTGATTTTGTTTTCAGTATGTCCATTGACAACTGCATGGTATTTTGGAAAGGATACGGAACATGTTTTTTTAGGGCATTTTAGAAACTACTGGTTTCTTTTAAAGCAACCTAGTGAATCTGAAAGAGAACTACAGACGCCATATTATTAAAAATGATCCATATTTTAATTTCTGGTTTTGAGGAAACATTTGCAGGCTCTGCATTATCCCTTTTAAAAAATATGGATGAAACCTAAAAAACAGTTTTTAAATTTCCATATAAGAAGGATTGGGTTAATTCAGTTAAAAGTTCTCCTATTGTAAAGCTTTAGATGACCCTTTTCACATTATCATGCGAAAAAGAAAGTACACTGTCTTTGAGTTCCTTGGTTATACTGGTATGTATCAGGACACAGTAAAAATCATCTGGTCCTTAGCGGTTCTTAAAAGTAGGTAAATATATCCTGAGATGAACAACAACACAGGACATGTTATACCATGTCATCATTTATTTTACAAAAAGAAAGCCAAAATGGAGAAACCACATGACTGTAACCGATTTTATGACCTTTTTGCATTAAGCAAACATGGCACTTTTTAAGTGTTAAATGAGAACTGTGATTATTAAGCAAACCAGTTGTACCCATTGAACTTTTTTTTTTTACTGGAAATCAGAATGCCAAAACCAGCAAAAAACATTGAAAATTGTAGTAAAGTGAGCACGGACATTGCAAACAGCTGTAAAGGTGAGCTGGTTGCCAAGTGCCCACAATGCGATCACATGACCACAGGGTGTTGCATGCAGCTATTATAACTTCAAAATTAAGTCATAAGTACTTGGGGGGGGTCCATCATAACTTTGAACAGTTACTACGTGATAGTTGTAAATCAAGAACTATCTATATTTGTGGAATTTTAAAGGAAAGTTTTTTTTAAAAAAGATCTTTCCCTATATTCTCCCTTTCTGTTTCGAAAAGCCTATCTTGAGTGTTAGAGGAACTTTCTATTTATTAATGATCTTCTGCTCAGTGCTTCTTATACACAAAGCAGCCAACTTAAAAGATTCCAATTTGAGACTATGGGAAAATATAGGGATAAGAAAAAAGCAGCATTGATTGGTGGGCTGTTTGGATAAGATAGGAAAATCATTTATCAATTTATTAATACTACCACTTCAGTTAGTTTTTCTCTGGGGTTAACAGTTCTAATACCTTTACAATATGATTTACAGTTCATCATTTTTATTTTTCTAGGATGCTTTTGATGAGATGCTCCATATTCTACCTTTTCCTTCTGCTGCCACTTAGCTCCTGGATGCAGAAACTACCTACTAGAGATGAAGAACTTTTTCAGATGCAGATCCAGGACAAAACATTTTTCCATGATTCTTCAGTACTTCCCGATGGAGCAGAGATCAGTAGTTATCTTTTCAGAGGAACACCCAAACGGTATACTGATTCATGTAACATAAAGTTAAGAAGATATATATGTCTCTGTTCTTTCAGTCGGTCTTGATTCCTGCAACTCCATTCAATTTTCTCAGCAACACCTTTTTTCAGAAGTTGCTTGCCATTGCCTTCTTCTTAGAACTGAGAGAGAGGAAGTGGCTCAAGGTCACCCAGTGTCAACTTCGTGAGATAGACCAGGCAGAAAAAATAGGCAGACAAGCTAATTCTACTTCATTGTAAGATTACATTAACAAACTCTTCAAATCTGAAAGTATATTCCCTCCCCCCATCCCCTTACAGTACAAGATATTAGGGAGGGTCTCTTCTGAGTCTCTTTCCCTGACTACATTCCTGCTGCAGGCTAAATTGCCTTTTATCTGACTGTTCCTTGGCTACATCTCTTTGCCCTGTCTCCCAGGGTCACCTCCACATAGTATTATACTTTGTGTCTAAGGCAGAATAAGCCCACTGCTTTTCATCTGCCACAAATCTCCTTTAGTGATTGCTAGCAGAGCTCATTTATAGCAATCAGAAAACATGAAAACTCCTTAATCTCATAACACGTGGACAGACTCAACCATAATTTTAACTGGGAAACTGTAAGCATCCTAGACCAAGTAAAATCCAAAAAATTTCCAGGAAGCTTGGCATTCAGACAATCAGCATCAATAGGCACATAGAAATAAACCACATTCATATACCATTCAAATGAGACAATAAAGGCTAAGAACAGGAAAGAAGAACAGAATACATCTTCCCCAGCAGCCTATAGCCATATAAGCAGGAATTAACATCAGACAAACCAAATCAAACAAACCAAATCAAGCAGAAAATTATATCCTTATCAAGCATCTACCAAGGACAAAACCACATCCCACCAATAATGGCAGGACAAGCTACAATACGGACTGCCATATGTCAGAAATGGCTGGGGCTGGGTTGGACTAGATGACCTACAAGGTCCCTTCCAACTCTGTTATTCTGTTAATATGTAAGTCAGGAACAAATTCCATAATCACTAGCACTGATGATGTTCCCTAGTTGGGAATGAAATGAAGTGAAATGAAATGAAATTGGAAGCAAACAACCAAGCTCAGAGAGCCCTAAGGACTCCACAACTCAATATATGAGCTACATATATTCTGTTCTCCGTGTGTCCTTAATGTTATATTGTGAATAAGGTCATGCTTTTATTCATCTTTCCATAGGTTTTTTTTTGTGGTAGAGGAAGATAATACACCATTTGCAGTTACAGTGACTCCTTGTGACACACCTTTGGAATGGAAACTGAGTTTGCAAGACCTCCCTGAAGAGTCAAGTGGAGAGGGCTCAGGTAAATTACAGTAAAAACCAAACAAAGATTGTTAATTTTGTTAAATATGAATAAGCTGATGTAGCAAATATGTTAAAGTCCATCAGTAATTGCTGGTTAAAAAATTAGTGAATAAGAATTAATTTTTAATAATTGAGTGATAGATTACATGTTTCCCTGGCTCATCACAAAGTCGTTCTGCTAGTTGGAATTTCTGAAAAATTTGCATTAAACAGGCAAAAAACTGGAGATAACCAATAGAGGAGGATATCTTATTTCACCTATTCCTCTCCTGCACCAATCTTAAGTGTAGCCATAAATCTTTATATGTACTATACATATGTACTAATATATACTAATAAAATAAGCAAGCTTTTACATAATTCAAGCAGAAAAAGTATAGGTAGTCCTTGACTTTCAACCACAATTGAGTCCCAATTTTCTGTTGCTAAGTGAGGCAGTTGTTAAGTGAGTTTTGTCCCATTTTTATCTTTCTTGCCTCAGTTGTTAAGTGAATCACTACAATTGTTAAGTTAATAACACAGTATTAAGTGAATCTGGATCCCCATTGACTTTGCTTGTGAGAAGGTCGCAAAAGGAAATCACATGACATGAAATCACTCTGCAGCCATCATAAATACGAGTCAGTTGCCAAGCATCTTAATTCTGATCACATGACCATGGGGATGCTGCAACAGTCATAAGTGTATAAACTCTTTTTCAGTGTTGTTGTAATTTTGAACAGTCACTAAATGAACTGTTGTAAGTCGAGAACTTCTACAACAAAGCATCACACCATGCTTCTCATGTGGATTATATTCTATAACAGAGCTTCCTGTCTAATTTAGAACTCTAATTTTTGAGATGGGAGACTTTCCATTAGATAGAGTTTTCCTCTACATATTGGAGGAAAAAAGTTATAATGAGGGGATATGGTCAACTGTCTCATCATTGCCGATTTTTCTTTTGTAAAAGGAACACATATTTTTTTATAAATAAAGAAGCTTGTATGAGCTATAAAAATGACAAGTACTGTAACTACAACTAAAGTTAGCAAAAAAACAGTTACAAATCCCACAAATACAATGGCCTCTCCTTCAGGCCAAAGAATCATGTTGGGGAAAGAAAAAGGAAAAATAGAATTGGCAATGAACCCATAGAGTTTGCAGATATCCTTACAAACAATTCAAGAAACAATGATGATGACCCAAGAGGCAATAGCAAATAATCATGAAGAAATGAAAATACATCATAAAGAAATTAAGAATGATATTGGAAAAATGAGAGATGAAATTAAAAATATGAATGATAAGATAGGTAATATACAACAAACAATAATGGAAAATGAACAAAGAATTCAAAAAATTTAAACAAAAATGGAGCTTGTTGATAAAAGGGATGATACAGAAATCTGATCAAGCAAATAGGGAGTTGATTGAATCTATTGCTTTTCTGGAAATGAACAAAGCTTCGTTTTGTTTAAGATTTCAAAATATTGTTGAGGAAAAGGAGGAAGATTTGGAAGAAAAGATGGCAGAGATTTTGGCGGTGATTTTAGGCAAAGAAAAATTGGAAGTAAAAAGAGACATGGATGAAACATATAGAGTATACACAAATTATGCACGAACGCATAGATTGGCGAGAGAGGTTCATATAAGGTTTACTAGAAGATCAATAAGGGATGAAATATATAAAAAAACAAGAGACAAATCAATAATGTATAAGAGTAAAGAAATAATTGTATTAAAACAAATACCACGTAGTATACGAAATCAGAGACGAGATTACCAATTTTTAACCACTCAATTAATTAAATATAAAGTTAAGTTTCGTTGGTTAATACCTGAAGGCATACTTTTAACTTGGCAGGAGAAAAAATACAAGACAGATACACTTGAGAAAGCACGGGACTTTTATGAGAGTTACTTTTCACAAGGAGAAGAACAAGAAAGTAGGGAAGAGCCGGAGTGTAAAAGTTATGATGAAGATCTATTAGAGGAAGTTGATCGAGAGCGAGAAATACAAAAGTTACAAGAAAGAGAAAGATTAGAAAGAGAAGTAAAAGGAAGACTTATAGAGACAAGAAGTATAAAACAAAACAAAAACAAAAAAAAAGATCAAGTTAAAAATGGGAGACGTAATTAAGCTCTTTTCTATAACTATTAAAGGATTAAATATATCAAGAAAAAGAGTTTAGATGTTTAACAATCCAAGGAAATTGGATGTAGATATGTATCTTTAGGAAGTTTACATAAAATAGGATTATAGAAAATTACTAGAGAAAGTAAAATTTAGAAACATTATACACAATATTAGCATAAAACAAGAAAGGAGGAATTATTATATATGTCAAAGAAAAATAAAATTAAATAAATATACTTGGATGGAAAGGGGTGAATTTTAATGTTAGAAATAGTATTAGAGTAAAAACAGTATATGCACTAAATAATATGAGAATATTTGTACGATCACCATGCTTAGATGGAATTCCGGTCGAGTCTTATAAAAAATATGAGTGTTATTACAATGAATAATGTTGGATTCCTAGTAAGTAGTAGAATATGAAAGAAGGAAAATGTAAATAAGAAACAATGGGGCAATAAGGACAAATATTTCAAAGAAAGAGGGGGGAAATGTAAAGAATAGAAGAGTACTGTTACAAATTGCTGTTAACAAAAAAGGATATATTATGTGTTTATGTGTGTAATGTTTGTTGTGCTTTGTTTTGTTTTGTTGGTCTAAAATAATAAAAAAAGAAGCTTGTATGATTAGATATCTTTAAACTAATATTTTCAATATATGAATGTTCTTATTTGGATTCCTCTTTTTTCTAATAAAAATAGAATATTATTTATATCACCCTTAAAAGCTAAACATAAAAAAAGAAATGAAATAGTATCAACTAAAATATACAAAATCACAAAATACTTATATTACAAACTGAGACATCTCTAATTCTAAAGGAATTAAATTAGATCATATAAAAACTACTTTTATTATAACTAATAAAATATGAGTAAGCAATATACAAAAAAAGTCAGAAGAGCCAAGGCAGTCCAGAAGCTTAAATCCTCGATCTCATGAATACCACTATTTCTCAGAATCCCCCCAATAATTTTAAACTTAGATTTAAAGATTAAAAAGTCATCTGTCATCCAACAATTAATAGAAATGCATAAGAGTAATGTGATTCCAAGGCTGTGGAACTGGCCGGAAAGGTCCATAGCTTGAATTCGTTGTTGGAGCCCTGGGAAGAGCCCAACATTTCAGAGTGTGAATAGTTGATTTTGTGGGAATGTAACTGCTCAACATTGAAAATAGGAAAGGGGAGGTATTTCACCACAATGCCTATAATAAACAATAAAATTAATATAACACAGAAAAATGCTATCCTAGTAATTGGGGCCTTTGTGCAAGGTAGAGCAATGACCTCAACCTAACCTTTCATGGAAACTTGAAAGGCTTTATTATATATAAGCAGTATTGTATATAATGGCATCATTTACCTGTGCAATGTTTGAAATTATTTATTTATAAAATTAATATGGTCCCCTATTGCAAAGACTCTGGGCAACATAAAAATTAAATGTTTTATTGCACATCTTACTATTAAATTATTATTAATAGTAGTAATAATAGTAGTATAAAAAAATAATTAAAGCTGCTTGGGAAAACAGATAACTTCCCCCATATTTGCATTCTGATTGATCTGCAGCATTTATAAACATTTTGTAGTGGTATGTGAAAATGAACTGAAAAACAAGAGAAAGAAATGCTGTAGATGAAATGATCAGACGAGGAGAGACAGCCTAGTGTGGCTTAAGTGTCAGAAAAATGAGCTTAGGAAGGACCCATCTTAATAGATCAGGAAATTAAAAGCAGCAGCAGCAAATTTGTAACTTCAGACTTTCTTTTAATCTAGCCCAGTGGTTCTCAACCTATGGGACGCGACCCCATTTGGGGTCGAACGACCATTTTACGGGGGTTGCCAAACAACGCGATCTGCCATTTTCCCCCCTCAGGGGGCGGCGCCGCGCATGCGTGCCACGCATGGGGGCGGCGCAGTGCATGCGTGCTGCGCATGGGGGCGGCACTGCGCATGTGTGCCGCACATGGGGTGCCGCCGCGCATGTGTGCTGCGCATGGGGGGCGCTGCGCATGCGTGCTGCGCATGGGGGCGGTGCTGCATATGCGTGCCGTGCATGGGGCAGCCCCGCGCATGCGTGCCACGCCGCGCATGCATGTCGCGTTCGTGTGGCGGGGGTTGCCGTCACACAAAGGTTGAGAACCGCTGATCTAGCCATACAGTAAAGTCAAATTAGTTCATCTAATATTTCTTGACTGGTTTTCTTCGGAGGCCAATACATTTAGACCCTCCCTTTAAAAAGCATATTGCGTTTGTGTTTGCTTTGTTTCAAAATCCCTCATTTTTGTCTCTTCTAGGTGACTCAGAGCCACTTGAACAACAGAATCAGCAGATTATTAGTGAAGAAGGCACAGAGCTGTTTTCATATAGAGGAAACGATGTTGAGTATTTTGTATCCTCTGCTTCACCTTCTGGGGTATACCAGTTAGAACTATGGTCAACAGAAAAGGATACAAACTTTAAAATCTATGCTAGTACAACTCCAGAGTCAGATCAACCATATCCTGAACTACCTTATGATCCAAGAGTTGATGTGACTTCTCTTGGTCGTACAACTGTCAGTTTGGCATGGAAACCTAGCCCTACAGCTTCAGTATTGAAACAGCCAATACAATATTGTGTAGTTATTAATAAAAAACACAATTTCAAAAGTTTCTGTGCTGTTGAGACTAAACAGAGTGCTGATGATACATTTATGAAAGCTCCTAAACCTGGTCTGGATTTTAGCCCTTTTGATTTTGTCCATTTTGGATTTTCTTCCAACAGTAATTCTGGGAAAGTAAGCAGCTTCTTAAAACCAACACCAAAGCTTTATTCAAAACTTTATTCAAAGCCTAAATTTGATCTGGAAAAGATATGCATTGGAAACAAGAATATATTTACTGTATCTGAACTGAAACCTGGTACACAGTACTATTTTGATATATTTGCTGTAAATGTCAATACAAATATGAGTACTGCCTACGTTGGTACTTTTGCAACAACTAAAGAAGAGGCCAAACAGAAGACAGTTGATTTAAAAGATGGGAAGGTTACAGATGTGTTTGTTAAGAGAAAAGGCACCAAGTTTTTACGGTTTGCTCCTGTTTCATCACATCAAAAAGTTACATTTTTTGTTCACTCATGTCTTAATGCCATACAAATGCAAATCAAAAGAGACAGAAAACTTCTGTTATCTCCAAATGTTGAGGGCATCCATCAGTTTCAGCTTAGGGGAAAGCCAAAAGCCAAATACCTCATTCGACTGAAAGGAAATAAGAAGGGAGCTTCCATACTGAAGTTTTTGGCCACAACAAGACCCAATAAGCAGTCATTTCCATCTCTTCCTGAAGATACAAGAATTAAAGCCTTTGATAAACTTCGCACATGTTCCTCAGTCACAGTGGCATGGTTAGGTACACAAGAAAGAAACAAGTTTTGCATCTACAAGAAAGAAGTAGATAATGATTATAATGAGGAGAAAAAGAAAAGAGAACAAAATCAATGTCTGGGACCAGACTTGAGAAAAAAATCAGAAAAAGTCCTCTGTAAGTATTTTCACAGTCAAAACCTACAAAAAGCAGTTACCACAGAGACAATTAAAAGTCTAAAGCCGGGCAAATCCTACCTTCTGGATGTTTATGTCATAGGACATGGTGGGTACTCTGTCAAATATCAAAGCAAATTGGTGAGAACAAGAAAATTGTGTTAGGAATCTTTTACATAAAAATCAGCAGAACATTATTGGATTGACTAACTACTTATACAGAATAGAAGTTGTAAACTGTATTGATATTATGTATAGGAAATATTAACATCTATATTTATGTTTACAGAAGTAATTAAAAAAGACTCAGATTAGTGCTCTTCGTTGGTATCTGACGATTGCATTATCATGCATCTGGTGGTCTATGTTTGATGGTCAGTAAATAATGAAGATAGCAGGGAATATTGAAGAACCTGCCCTTTTTGGCTTCCATATTGCATGAAGTGCTTCTAAATTATTTTATCATATCAAAGGCTAACCCAAATCATTCAGTAGGATATTAGTCATAGGCAAAGACAAGAACCAAAACTTCCATCCAATCTCTTTTCATAGATTACAGTTTATGTAAATTATTTTTATTGTCTTGTTTAATATATCTAGGTTTCTATGTTGTAAACTATGAAAAATCTTTTCCTGTTAAAAGCATAGATCTAAATTAAATATTAACTGGGATTTCCAGTTTTATTGTTAATATAAATTCCTATCTGCTTAATTTTAAATGCTTAAAAAGTTTATGTATTTCATGTTCAAAATTGTCAGTCATTATATTCCTGTACATAAAATTAAAATATTATATTATACATTCCAATTGATATTAATGTTTCATATATCTACATAGCCATATACATATACATAAATTTGTATAATTGTGAATGTATATTGAGCATCTTTAATTAGTAATTATCTGAACATCTTTAATTGTTAAGTATATTTCAAATATTTTAGTACAGTTGATAATACACAAGCTTTTTCAATTTGTCAGATCAATACTTTCATCTATATTGAAACAATAAGATAACCTACTTGTGCTTAAAATTGAAGAAACTGATATGAATATCTCTTTCTTTTAATTCACGGTAATAGCTTGGACTATCATATAGTAAGCAAAATCCAATGCATAATCGGCTTTCTTAGCTTTTGCTGATTTCCATAGATATTTATATCATTGTAATTATATTTTGGATTGTACTATGTGACCTACATATTGAACACTTCAGAGATAACAAATGAAAGGAAGACAAACATGGATTATTAATAATGTTTATTTTCTGCATTTTCATAGAGATCGGATTAAAAGTTAGATCTTCATCAAGCAGTACCTTTTATGTTTTCATTTGTTTTCCTGAAAACAAAGCAAATGTAGCAATTGTTTTCATAGTATTTTTAAAAACAGAATAATATCAGAATTTATTCACACATCTCTAGCTTGGCACTTTGACAGTTCACTGTATAAAAAAAATCTGTTTAACAATATCCATTCACCACCCTACTCCATGGTTTTCAGACTCCCTATTTTTCTGGTGGTCAAGATGTTGATATCATGGGAAGCTGTGTTAGAGAAGCAATTTGTAAAGCATGTAAACAAAAACAGTTGACATTTCCAACAACTTCCTGTCTGGTTGTGAAACCATAATCTGTAATTTTGCAGCTGGATCATTTTTTCCAAATATACAAATTCTCTTTTGAATACAATTAAACTCGTTTCTGAAATATTTCTGTAGATAGCTGTATGGTTAACATTGTGCTTGATTCATTTTATACTTCCAGATGACTGAGAATAGTGCATATTATTCAGTCATATTCAAATTAAATATTACAGCCTTTATCATATATAACAAAATCAAAATCTTTGTCACATAGGCTTGGTAGGTATCTATGCAGGAAAATATAAAGGGGGGAAAGGTTGGAATGTTCTTGTAACTCCAAATTTAATATAATAAGGATTCGATCAGCTCTAAATGCAGATTAAAAGATAAATGCAAGGAAATGAGAATACACAACAATGCCTTCAGTTACTTTCATTGTTCTTGTGGATACCTATGTTTGGACTGGATCTAAAACTGGAACAGAACAATAACAACAAATTAAATGCATATGCCATCCGATGTCCACTGACTGAATATTTATGGATGGAGTGACATTTCTCATAATTCTAAAAATTTGCAACTCTGTGTCAAGCTTCTCAACTCTTTTGACTAAAGACAAAAAAATGACTTATATTACACATTCACTGTAATATATAGCTTGACCTCTTAGGTCAGTGGTTCTCAACCTGTGAGTCGGGACCCCATTTGGGGTCGAATGACCATTTCACGGGGGTCGCCAAACAATGCAGTCCACCATTTTTTCTCCCTTTTCCTTAGCTGTTGAATAGACTCTTGAATAGAGTCTAATTCTATTGGCTTTCAAAAGCCAATAGGAATTGTCCAGGCTGTCTCTGCCCTGCTGAGCCCACCAAAAATCCCATTCTGCAAATGGTGCTGCACCAGTTGAGTAGTCCTCGACTTACGACTGGTTGGGGGCCGTGGCATTAAAAAGGTTGAGAACCACTGTCTTAGGTAGACAAGCAACATTTGTAAACCAGTGGGTTACTTGGAAATTTGAGAGTACCGTGAACACTTATTAAATTAAATGAATTGAGATTTTACCTGTTCACACAATGGTAGCTTTAGCCAGAATGCTAATTCCAAACTATTTATTAAAATGTATGCTTTTACCTCTTTAGCATTACAAAATGTTTTGTTTAAAAATGTACAAAATGCGGAATGTATTTTGTTTTAAGTTTGGAACAAAATACTGTAGATTCATTTGAAACTTTTAATCAAGAAGGATTGAATTGGCTGTGTTCTGATGGATCAATCCTCAAAATAGCTTCAGTGTTTTGTTTTGACCTTGAAAGAAAATTTTCAAATGTTCACATTTTTGTTTGGAGGCTGCAGTACTCAAAATAGTAACTGATTTAAAAAGTACATTTGAAATTTGCATTACCTATCTACTTATTTGAACATTGTTCTCTCTATTTCCCCCTGCTCCACCTATACATTGGCAGCATTCTTAACAGTTTTTTATTAAAATGCAAAAAGAATTTCAGAGGGTTTTCAAAGAAAATATATTATAAACCTTAGCATGCTAATATTAACAGAAAGTCTATCTACCGATAGCAAAATTTAGTAAGAACAGAAATATTTCTTAAGAATTAAATTCTCTTATTCTTTAGTTAATTTCATATGTTCATGCTGTTCTTATTTGGGATAAGGAAGTAAAGTAAAGCAAGTAAAAAAAATAGTGAAGTAAAAAATTGAAAGGAAGAAAAAGAAATATAGATAAATTTAGTCTACAGCAATACTACTCATTAAACTCCTCCATATCTTTCTATCTTTGCAAACCATTGTGACTTTAAACATATCAATGTATTCATTGCTTTTATAAATTACAATTTATTCATTATTTATTTATTTTTATTTATTTTTTTCTTTAAATAGTTGCCTCTTGTTTTAAGGATCATTAATTCCATAGAACCATGCCTTCCTTAGAAGGTCAATTATTATTCATTTGAACCTTCATTTCAATCTGTATATTCCTATATTTTACTTTTTGTGAATTGATCTTCAGTCTGTCTGCATGACTGAGTTCTACCTCAATGTACTTTTCTACTGTAGCTCACTTTGTTGTTGAATCCTCTTTCATTTAGTATGCATAAATTCTTGATTGTATTTTTATTCTACTACACACGGTTTTTAAATATCTATTCCTAATTAATTAAATTTACTTTAAAATTTCTCCCTACATACTGAAATCTTATTTCCATATAAACAAAGAAACAACAAAGTGGACAAACCCATTCTCTCATACACAACCACTTTCATTCTTTCATTCATTTTCATTCATTGTTTTTGTATGGTTAATGTGAATATCCTTGAGGTTAGCATGGTATTCTAATGATTTGATTATAGTTTATATCAATTACAATTGATTATTATTCTGAAACATTCCCTTAACATAGATGTGGTTAAAAGATGACATTCCAAATATCTAAGGAATTATGGCATATTCAGATGAAGGGTACTCAGACCTTTGTAAATAATCCATGAAACTAAAATCAAGGAAGACTTTCTGCTTTATTCCCAAACTATATAACGTACTTCCTCCGAAGGTGTATTTAATGACCACCCCAAACACATTGTTCTGCTTTTAAGAGTTGTGTTAAGACCTCAACCAGATATTTTAATTTGCTCTAAAACTGTTCTACTGAATCTTCAGTGGAGAAAAATGTTGAATAAATAAGACATTTTTTTATTTCATAAAATTTCATATTCCAATCTATGATTATGATAAAAATATGAATAGTTAGTCTTTTATTAAATAATCCTTAAAGTATTTTTTGGTATAAGATGTTGTGGCTAACTGGGAAAAGTCATCAATCAATAATTGTTACTATTATTGCGAACTTGGATCTTCAACTGCAGGAAAGTTTTGATGTTTTTGCTTAGTTTTCATTTCAACTAGTAATATTTTTATGGTAATTATCACCTGTCTTGAGTATGTCAAGGACAGAAACACAAGCTAAGTAGAAATTGGAAGTCACAGAGGCAAGCAGAGCAGTGACAAGATGTGAGATAGGAAAAGGAGAGCAGAGACATAGGTTTCTATGAATTTGCTACTGATGTAGGAATTTTAGATTGCTATTTACTATTACCTTTAGTTACTATTAAAAATTATTTCCCAAAATGACAAGTACTGTAATAAGTTACTATTAAAAATTATTTCCCAAAATGACAAGTACTGTAATAATCTGACCATCATAGATCATTTAAAAAAAAGAATTGGTAGAAGCTCTTGGAACTCTTCAGAATGTGTTATGAAAGGGAACATACTCTTTAAAAGGATCAGTCTTATAATTGCTGGTGCAGTGTTATTCTCTTGGGATAACTTTGCTTGTAATTTTAATCAATATCCTGGCTTAAATATTCCAGGAATGCAGGCTCTTATATTCTTGCAAACTATATTGGGGGCGGAGAGGAGATGGATGGTAGCCTCTTCGTGTTTTCCACGGGTTGAATGCATTGTTGTGTATTTTCAAAAGAGATATATTTTTCACATATTATAGTCAATCTGGATACTCAACTAACTCATTTTCTGAGAATTAAGCTGGGTAAGCCTTGGAAAGGATTAAAGTATATACAGCCTATGTTTGGATATTTAATTTATAATGTACTATATATGTTGTATTTATGTGCAAATATATCTAAATGTATAGGTTTTACACAATTATTAATTGCTATTTGGTACTGAATGAATGGGAACTGTGATTTTAGCTTTACTCTATGTTTTCAGTTATGTTGACCACCAGAAAGCATCACATGATGAGTTTTGCATTTACAGGGACTCCTTAGATATAAATAACTATTCTATGGATTCAACCCTCTAATGGGAATTGAACTTGTGGGCCTGTACTCCCCCCACACACACATCCCACAGTGAGAATAAAGGCACTGGTTCCAAGATATTTCACATGACAAATTCAGCAAGACTGGAGGGATACAGGAGCTCTTGACAAGGCTCAGTCCATGAAGACACAAGACGCAGTCCAAAGTCAGCCCAAAGTCCAAACATGAGTTTGAGAAGCAAGACACAGAATAAGACATTTGTTGCAGCAACACCCATCTTTTTGGGCCAGATTAAATGGACAATATCAGTTCTGGCCTTCACAATGAGTGAGACTGCCTCCTCACTATCATTTTGCCTGTCTCTTCTCCGCTGTGCATGTCCTTGGATTGAAAGAAGTGTGGACTCCATCTCCTCATCTTTGCTGGCCATTGGCAGCTACTTTTGTTCCTCACCAAAGCTGCCAGGCTCACCTGCTGCAGCTGTGGCTTGGCTTAGCCTGCTGCCTATCTACTGATTCAATAGAAGCTATCAGTATGGTGTACATGGCAACGATTGCTGGAATTGGGTATGTCTAGTTTAACGAAGAGAAGGACGAGGGGGGACATGATAGCAGTGTTCCAATATTTCAGGGACTGCCACAAAGAAGAGGGAGTCAAGCTATTCTCCAAAGTGCCTGAGGACAGGACAAGAAGCAACAGATGGAAACTAGTCAAGGAGACAAGCAACCTAGAACTAAGGAGAAACTTTCTGACAGTTAGAACAATTAACCAGTGGAACAGCCTGCCTCCAGAAGCAGTGAATGCTCCAACACTGGAAGTTTTTAAGAAGAGACTGGACAGCCATCTGTCCGAAATGGTGTAGGGTTTCCTGCCTGAGCAGGGGGTTGGACTTGATGACCTCCAAGGTCCCTTCCAACTTTATTGTTGTTATTGTTATTATTATTATTATTATTATTATTATTATTATTATTATTATTATTATTATTATTATAACTTATTGATATATTTGTACCTGTCTCTTCTGAGAGTTTAAGGTAAGGCAGACTGGGTGTACCAATCTTACTTCTTTTGGTAAACTTTCATGGCAGACTGTAGGTTTAAAACTGAATTTCCATACTCTACTTCTGTATAGAAATATACTC